CTAAACAAAACAAACAAACATTCAAAAACAAACACAAACAAACAAACAAACAAAAACTGCCCAAAAGGGGGGGGGCAACTTTTCAAAATAATTGTGACCAGAAAAAGGGGTGGGTTCTACAGGCCTGTATCATGTTATGTATTAGAAGCAATATGATTGTACATGTGACCTTAACTTTGCCCACCCTTCTGTTTTCCTACACTATATATACTCAATATCTGTTGAGGTGCAAGCAATATAATGATATGTTTAATTAATGCTAAAAAAAAGTTACTGACTTTGCTTTTGACATTTTACTTCATTTATCTAGTTCACCTCATGTTTTTTTAAGGGGTAAAGTTTCAGATTTAACATTGATATTCCGTCATTGGTTTATCTGGTGGAACCCTATACCCCCCCCCCCATTTTTTTTAACGTTGATATAATTATCATGTTAATTAGAACATCTGGGTAATTCTCCTTTGTTATTTTGACCTTGGCATTTTTCTTTCTTTTATTTCTGAAGGGAAAAATAATTTAAAAAAAAAATTTAAAAACTCATAAATAAAAATAAATGATCACGCGAAATTCACAAAATTTAGCTAACCTTAAACTATAGTTAATGACGTTAATCTATATTTCACATCTCTAAACCATAGTTAAAGCCTTATTCTGTGTTTCACTAGTAAACTATTCTTAATACTAAAAACAAACACAATCATCTGTTATTGCAAAACATAGTTTATCTTATAAATATGGTTTCACGATCTAAACACTATGGGTTTCATCTCTAAACTATATAGACTAGTCATTATTAGTCCCTTACCGGTGAAACCGGAGGGGACTATAGGTTTCCTCTGAGTCTGTCCGTCCGTCTGTCTAGCTGTCTGTCCGTCCGTCTGTCTGTCCCTCTAGTTATAGAATGTTAAGATTTTGCTATGCAACGATTATTTTCATTGGTTGATGAAAATATATTACTTGTTGAAAGTAAAATTTTCTATCAATCTAATAGGAAAGGGAAAAATAACAGGACAATTGTTGATTAAAATTTATTTATTTATTAGAAAAAAGGCGGGCATGTTGTAATCTATTTTTTCTTCATAAGAAGTGAAGTAAATCACCGACAATTTATCCTCTCATCCTTCCAGCCTTTTGTGTCGTAGATCAGCAAAGATGATTGAACATTCGAGTCGCTGAAGGCTTGACTTATTTAAGAACCCTCTATACACTGCACACTAAAGAGTTCTAATTCTGTGGTATTTTTATGAAGTTAGAGTAATCTGCCCTTATATCTAAAATAAAATAAGTCGAAATCTACAGTTTTTCAATCAATTTCTAATGAATTCGAACATTCTGAACATTTTGTTAGGCCAAAATAAATTAATTGAACACCTCATCTGCATGCTTTTTCCCCACTTAGGTAAACAACAGTGATTTCTGTTCATCAAAACTTTGTTGACTTTGAACATTTTTCCTGGGGGTAAAAGCCAGGCACCCGATGTTGAAAACGATATAAATAAGCTCAATATTTACACCTTTATACAATATAATTTTCTCAATGTCCAAAAAACATTTTTGTTTAGTGTAGAGAGGGTCCTTAAGATTATTAAGAAGAGAAAATAATTCTGCTTATACGATGCAGGATTTGTACCCCCCCCCCACCCCTCTCTCTCTCTATATATATATAGAACTTACGGCAATGACTGAATTGCATATTACCTTTCGTGAATTGTTCCGCTAGATTTTGAATTGAAAACTATATCGTTAATAACAGTTAACAGGTGTTTAGATCTCAATCTTTATTTAACAACTCTTAACTTTAGTTAACGAGTATGAATAATAGTTAATAACGATAAACTATGATTGTCATATCTGAATCATAGTGTAGCATCTCTCCAAACTACTGTTTTCAATCTTTAATTATAGTTTACCTCTTTTAAATATAGTTTATGAGTATAAATGCAGGCCCGTAGCAACGGATTCAAAAGGGGGGGGAGAACTTCCCCAAAAAAGCTGACAAGCAAAAAAAAGGTAATTTCCTGTCTGAATCCTGAAATTTGCCAGTGATCGACGACCTTAAACAATCAAAAAAGCGGGGGGGGGGGGGGGGGAGCATCTAAAGGAAAATTTACTATAGTAAAATAGTATACTCAGCAAAAAGTGCCCCCCCATCCCACCCCCTGCGTTCTACGGGCCTGAAATGACAAATAATTATTATTTACGAAGAAATTTATAATTAATAAATGTAAAAATTAGGTTTATCTGATAAATGTATTTTTACGATTTGTGCATTCTCACAATGTCAAGGTTTTGTGATTTCGGAACTCCACACAAACCCTAGGGTTTGTGTTCCGAAATCACAAAACCTTGACATTGTGAGGATGCAATTTGTGACACTATGATTAACAACTCTTAACTTCGGTTAATGAATGTAAATTATAGCTTACAAATGTTTATTAACAAAATCTATTGGTCACGTTTTTTAAAGACAGATAAACTTAGATTAGTATTCGTAAACTATAACTTACAACCGTTGAATATAGTTTTAAGGATGAAAACTACAGTTCATGAATCGTTAACTATAGTTTACGGTTCGTAAACTGTAGTTTACTATCGAAAAACCTACTTTATGAACAGTTAATCTATGTTTATCTATTTTATGTGAATTCAGCGTGTCATGCAGTAAACATACATTGTCTTCTGTCAAGATATTGTGCGAAGCTTGCATCCAAACACTATTGGTACCCTGTCTGTTCCTTCTAGTTACTTTTACTCTGTTTGGAAACTAAATAGCGACAAGCATGAAACTGTATATCATTGATTATTTCTTCTTATTTAGTTGGATTTTACTAGATTTTACTAGATAAATTATAAATATAAGACGATTATATGTAATGATATTGCCCTCTGATGAGATTCTGTGCAAAGATTCAATGACTTTCCGTAATACAGATTCTATCATAGTGGCAGATTACAAGGAGGAATTCGTAGAGAACAAGTTTTCTAAACCTTTAATGGTTCAAAGTGTTTCTCCAAACCTAGCTGCAGATCTGTAGCGTTATGGTTTTATATTTTAGTCATTGACCATATCATTCTTGTATACTCCGTGCATGTAATTCAAATGAATGATGATTGTTATAATGCACTTGAAAACATGATAAGATTTCATCAAAAGATTAATCTTTCAAAAAAACAAGTCATTACATCCAAATAAATGCTGTAGTATTCGTCAACAAAGGCGGATCCAGGGCCGGCCGGGCGTGCCCCCCCCCCCCCCCCCCCGTTTGAATTTTATGTATGTAGAACTTATGAATATGTCCATTATCCTAAAATCAAGGAAAAGACATCTCTTATTTGTAAGAATTTGTCAGCTTCCGTGGGCTTCGTTTCCGGACCCCCATCAGAGCTTTGCCCTAGACCCACTGGGGGCTTCAATGCAGCCCCCAGACCCCCCCCCCCTCCCCGCCTTCTACTGCACCCCCCGTTACGAAATTCCTGGATCCGCCACTGATCAATGTACTTTTTTAATACATAGTAAGATACTGACTAAGTCAGTATTATCAAAAGAAAAACACTATATGTTTGAAGTGAAAGTAACAAAATGAAGGTAAATATAGGCTTTGTGGCAATTTTTTTTTCTTTTTTTTTTTTTAAATACAAATACAATCTCTATGTTTCGAAAACTGGTAGTAGAGAAATATTTGATATCCTAATTAAATAAATTGTATCTAAAATTCTCAGAAAGTATTCGTCTGAAATTAACTGATTACTCAGTCTTGAAACCCTACGCATGTACAACTATGTATATTTCGGACAGTGGAGGAGAAAAAATGCCATATTTTATCCTAACAAAAAATGAGGAAAATATAATCTGACTTATGACTATATATGGTGTTTGATAAAAATCAAACAATAATTCTTCATAGTTGTGAACTTCTAAGATTTTCATATTTGGATAAAAAGGGGGGGGGGGTGATCACATACTGTATTTAGCAAGAGTGAGCTGTATGTTTTTAATTCAAAAGATTTATACACAATTAGGTTATATAAATTTATAAAAGTAATTAATAAATGAAGATAAATCAGTTTTACTGCGACCGCTTGAAGAAAAGGGAAGGGAAAATATAACCATGCCTTGTATAGTCAAACACGGTCTACGTACATGATTGCACAACATTTTGTGACCTGTGCTAAATTTTATGAAGGCTGCAGATCAGGGCTGTTGGGGAGTGTCCGACAATTCCTTTTCTAACATAATCTTGTGAGTTTGAATTAATTTTTAGTTTACGATCGATTTATTAAACGGGGGAAATGACTTCCTTACTATATGACCTTGACAGCATGATACGAAACCGTGGATTAACTGAACGTGGTAGCTTTAGAACAATAATCGACCAATCATTTTACGGGCTTGTTTACTTCTAGAGAAATGTTATAGCATGTAATAGACTGTGTATTACCTATGGTTTTTAATTGATTTTAAGGTTATTGTGGACTTTTGGTGCATCAGAATATGGTATTATGGAACTTAAACTTATACAGATGTGATTGTCATGGATGAATTAAAGAAACAACGTAATCGATATGGCTTTTTCATTGGATTTGCTACTCATTCGACAGCCTAAACAATACGGCGAGAGTTCAAGGCTAAGTTCTTCTAAATGTGAACAAACAACGGTGGATTTACGATAGATTCTTGTGATCAATTTTAGTACATGTGATTTGTTGTGATTGAAAATGTGATTTTGTATAGTTTTTAAGATCGGAAATAACCCTTCCTTCCTCAAACGAATTAACGTAAAGCTTATATGGTCGATGTTTGTTTATGACCAGCCTGGGGATTTTTATAGTTTGCTACGCACCGCGACAAGGGTCTCGTTTTGATAACTTTCCCAGACCCTTTGTTGTTTTGCCCACACGTGTTTCTTCACATACTTGAAATAACTGATATATTAACAATATTTATATAATATATACATAGTTCTTTAATTAGCATACAACAAATACCTTGCAAACCTGCATATTTATATTTCCTCTCTCTCTCAGCACATGTGACACTATTTTGATATGAGCTAGAATTTAATATGGTAAAACTACTTCAGCAAACAGCATGTTTCTTGTTGTTGGTCATCCTGTGTCAGTGCATGGTGGGGGCAAGATATGCTATGGACAAGAAAACCACCAAGTACCCCAACCCAAATGGCAAAGGTGAGTTTCTAGTCCTACACAAAAATGTGCGTTGAATGCAGAGGTGGAATGCATTAGATAAATCATGAATTTTATCATATTAGAGCCTTGAAACCAAAATTATAATTATTTCACTCCCACTTGCACAACCATTGTAGCTGGTCTTGGGACTAAAGAGAATATGTGGCTTTTGATTGGAGTGCTTCCAGTCCCCCAGCATACTGACAAATGAGTGGATTGAGGACATTTGCTTTTAAAATTGACAGGTGTTTTGACTGTAGGTTGGTAAATTATATCTTGACTGACAGTTATGATTTTTTGGAATTGTATCTACATCTGCATAACCAATTGGATGATTTTGTTTTTTTTAAATTTGATCCACCTCTGCATTCATTTTATTGTTATCCACAATGAATCTTGAGAAGTGTTTTGTATTGTGGTTTACATATGTTTAGCAGAATGAAGTGATCAATTGCATCCACATCAGTGTATTGTTAAATTGGCAATAACTGATTTGTTGCTTTGCGAGGTCCATTGAATGATATTTGCAATGGAGGTATTTTTAATCATCATGTAGTAAGTTGCAGATGGAGACAAAGAATTAATTGTGTAGTCTGTCTTCAGAAAGTATTGATTTTGATGATTTAATGCAATGCACTTTTTTTTCCTACTGGCACATTCCACCATGTTCTTTCAGAAAATGGCAATATTTCTTGTATCAATGTTTAAAACTCCATTTGAATATGTTATATATAATTATTCTATTGTACATAATGTCATACTCATCATCCATGTGACTATTAAGAGTTCACAAATTATTATTATTATAGCAAAAAAATTGGTTTGGTTGTATGTTTACAATAACGGAAATCTTTTCACTACATGCAATATACAATGTTACTTTTTTGATCTTCTTACATGTATGGTAAAAAGTTTAAAACATATTTTTCTAGCAAACATTAATACCTGCTTATAGCTATAATTAAGTCCTTATTTTGTCATCAGAAAAGCCCAAAGTCAAATGACTGAATTAATTGCATCAACTGTGTGAATTGATTACACAGTAAGACCTAAAATAAAATATTGTTTGTTTTAAATTGCCTATAACTTAAATTGCACCTGAACCATTTTTTCCCAGCAATTTATCAAGATGAATTTTTTCTTTAGATGTATAAATTTCTGGATATCAGAACTTTATTTAGTTGTGTATTTTAAAGTTTTAATTTTATGAGGTTAAATAAGTGTACTACTGTGCAGGTTAAAAAAAAAAATTGTAACCTTATCAAAAGCCCTGTGATTACCCAATAAAAACTCCCCCCTCCCCATAAAATTACCACATTCGATCCAAAAATGGAGTCAGCAAGTGCAAGCAAAACAATTTTAAAGTTTAATTGTCCTAACTATTTTACTATACTTGTGAACCTTCTGTCCCTCTCATGCTGTTTTAGGGAAATCTTTTCTCTCTTTTTTTTTTTAAACTTTCAACTTTCATTTAATGTAAATGAGTTTAACAGCAAATAAACACAAATTTAGAGGTAGAGTTGTCATTAATAGATTTTAGGTAATGTAATATTGAATCAAATTGTTTTGATATAATTCTGATACATTCTTTGAGTATTGATACATTAATTTCTCATTGTCCAATGAGTCCATATTCCTCATCTTAGAAATTTTATTTCATTTTATTAGGTCTTTTAGTTTATTGTCAGTCAAATAAACACAGTTTCTTAAATATGTTTTCCTTTGTTCATTTTCATAATTAAGTTTATTTGAAAAAAAAAAAACCCACTACCAACAACAAAAAATACAATAAAACCAGTTGACTATTAGGCATGATGTGTCTCTTTAATGTGAAAGAAATATTTGTAGTAAAAAAGTTAATATATAGATCTATATCAATACTTTTTATTATGAAATTGAATCTGTATATCGATAAAACAACAGCTCTTTCTTGAGGAGTCAGTATTATTTTCAGTCTCCATCTATGGTGAATTTTCACTTAAAAATTGGCATATGAGTTAATGAATTTTTTTATAAAGATATATACCGGTACTTTAGTCAAAAGTGCAAGAAGAAAGGGCATTGGTCTATTGGTTTTGTCTGGTTTAATAAAATGGTGTTAGCACTTTGTCTATCAGGACATTATTGTGTAACAAGATTTCACCTAACAAATTGACACTTGTGAATTGAATCATGCATGAACCAGTGAAAGGGAATGACATTTTGTTGGTCTATGAATCATTTCCTTTGTTTGTGTATGAGGCTCCCCAACCCTGTTGTCAGATACACTGGAAAAAAATGCAGTGTTGTGTAGAGGCAGTTGTCCTCATTGTGAAACTGACAAGTCCAGCTGCAGATATAAGAGGGTCTGAGAACATTGTACTATTGGTCAGTTTTGTTTGTTTATAAATGAAAATTTTACAGTACATTTGTATGGTATTATATGTTGTATAGCATACACTGACTTCTCATTGCTAGGCAATACACTTACAATAAACACAAGCAAACATTTTAGGTTCAGTTTAGGAGAAAATAATGCTGAAATCCACATGAATTGTACTACAAAGTGTAATGTAGAATTACAGTAAAACCTTGTTATCTCGAGCTCAGTGGGATTGACAAAAAATTTCGAGATATCTGAGAGTTCAAGATATTAGGAGTAAAGTACTTTAAGAAAGAGTGGTTGGGACTTCCAAATCACTTTTACACATCCATGGTATTCAAGATATTGGTATTCAAGCTGTACATCATTTACAATTTACAAAAGAAATAGAAAATTCATATCTGCATGGTGTTTGTCTTCATTTCCCAGTCAAACACGTCTATAGAGACTATTTTGTAGTTTATGAATAGTTGTAGTTGATATCAATTGTGTAATATTATGTTTTCATTTATGTGTATGGGTTCAGCACAAGCTTTTATTTAACATGTTTAACACAATTTTGCACAAATACATGAATATACTGGAGTTTAGTGATGTCTGAAAGAACTGACATTTAGAAACAAACTGTTGATGATACAGAAATGAAACTAGAAATATTTATTCTCATTGAAATTGACTTCTAATGCCCCCTTTGCATTTCTCTGAATTATAAACATTACACAAACAAGATGTAGGTTGTTTTCATGCATATGCTTTACAGAAGTTGATTTGTGTCTTGCTTGGGTGAACACTGTTGTTTGGTCACTGACCGAAGACAAGAAGTATTTTATAATAGAGACATATTAAAGTGAATTTGTGTGTCCTGTAGCCTGTCCACTAAACGACATAAACTGAAATATGTGCTGTAGCCTGTCCACTATACAATACAATAGAGACATAAACTGAAACTGCATGTCCTGTAGCCTGTCCTCTACACAATACAATAGAGACATAAACTGAAACTACATGTCCTGTAGCCTGTCCACTATACAACACAATAGAGACATAAACTGAATTAACCAGCTATGTGTCCGGTAGCCTGTCCTCTATACAATACAATAGTGACATAAACTAAAGCCACATGTCCTGTAGCCTGTCCACTATATAACACAATAGAAACATAAACTGGTCACATGTCATGTAGCCTATCCACTATAAAATACGATAGAGACATAAACTGAAGCCACATGTCCTTTAGCCTATCCACTATACAGGACGATAGAGACATAAACTGAAGCCACATGTCCTGTAGACTGTCCACTATACAACACAACTGAATTAAGCTACGTGTCCTGTAGCCTGTCTTCTATAGCTAGATACAATACGATAGAGACATAAAATGAAGCCATATGTACTGTAGCCTGTCCACTATACAACACAATAGAGATATAAACTGAAGTAAGCTATGTGTCCTGTAGCCTGTCCTCTCTACAATACAATAGAGACAAAAACTGAAGCCACCTGTCCTGTAGCTTATCCACTATACTAAATACAGTAGAGACATAAACTGAAGCCACATGTCCTGTAGCCTGTCCACTATACAATACGATAGAGACATAAACTGAAGCCACATGCACTATACATAAACTGAAGCCACGTGTCCTGTAGCCTGTCCTCTATACCATACGATGGAGACATAAACTGAAGCCAAATGTACTGTAGCTTATCGACTATACAACACAATAGAGACATAAACTGAAGCCACATGTCCCGTAGACTGTCCACTATACAATACAATAGAGACATAAACTGAAGACACATGTCTCATAGACTGTCCTCTATACAAGTCATCATGTAAAATAACTTAAGAACTTGCAGTCTTCGGGGCGGGTGGGTATTAACTTTGCAACAAATTTAATTTTATAAGGAAAACTAGAGAAATGTCGAGTGTTAGAATAAAGCTTTAAAAATATAGTCTCATTATAAAGGTTAAGTGACAAACTAAGTAACCTCTTTTCTGTCTTTTTTTTTTCTGCAGTATATATGATGATCATATATTAATTTGTGTAGCATTTTTTTTTTACCACTACACCAAGTGCCTTATATCCAAATAAAATACTATATAAAATCCATGCACATGTATTACTTTTCAAAAATAAGATATAAAGTAAAAAGTTCTCCATAATCTGATGATGCTAAGTGAGAACCATCCACAGGATGCATGGAGATTCTGAGAAAGATATTCTATCCCCTAGGAGACACATATTCCATCAACATCCCACCAACTCAAACTGTCAAGTACGTTACAGAGTTATAAAACGCTATTGGTTTTGGCATTCTCAATATATGATAAAAATATAAATTCATTCATATGAATTGAAATTAAAAAAAAATTAAATATTCATGGTATCTGTAAATAAATCCTAATTATTGCAGCCATACTACAAACAGGAACATATGTTGCCTGCAGTTTGAAGAGTTTCACTGTCTCTTCCCCATGATTGAAATGGAATAGTCAACAAAAGAATAACATGATTCATGAAATTAGAAGTGTGAAATGGTTGGTTTTATTTGTGTAAAAGTCCAAAGTCTCTTTGGAATTCCTCTTCAGCCAATCTTTACATGAATATGTTTGTTTGTTTGTTGTTAATGTCCCTCT